ATCTATCTATCTATCTATCTATCTATCTATCTATCTATCTATCTATCTATCTATCACGTTCTACCATTTTTTGAAAAACAAAATGAGGGTTATCTAAAGGCCCCTCCCCCTCCCCCCCACCCTCTCAGTCCGCCGTCACATCCATTCTCACAATGCTAGTCTGAGAGTCGTACCTCGTTGAGTAAAAGACATGCCTTGTACATATTATCATACCTCGTAGAGTACAGAGATGGCGTCGGTGGCCTTGTGCTTAAGCTCTCAGACACACAAGCGTAAGGTCGTGTGTTTCGAATCCTGTCAGGGACCTGGCGTTGTGTCCTTGGGTAAGGCACTTTACACGCATTTTCCTCCCTTCACCCAGGTGGGAATGGGTACCCAGCTATAGATAGTGTAAGATCTTGTCAGTTTGTTTGTGTTTGAGCTTTTAATCAGCTGCTTGCACTGTATGCTTCTCGGGAAGCTGAACTGATAATGTTTCTGAGTGTTCTATGGTCTGCTGGGGAAATAATATAGTATAAAGCGCATAGAGCTCGCTGTAGAGTGAGGTTACCCGCTTTATAAATGCTATTTATTATTCATTATTATTATTATTATTATTATTATTATTATTATTATTATTATTATTACGACTAGTACATAATCATACCTCGTTGAGTAAAGAGATGACCTGGACATATCCCATCCGGTTATTTATATCCAGCAAGACTCGAACGCCGCCGGATACCCGGATACCGTTTGTGCAAGCAAACCGGATAGACATCTGGTAGACGATGACTCCTGAAGGCTGGTCGCCGGCTGGTGATAGATAGATAGATAGATAGATAGATAGATAGATAGATAGATAGATAGATAGATAGAGCATATTGCTTGGGAAGCAGCCAACAACAAGAGCCCCTTTCTCTCTGTTTCATGCTCTCACCGTTGTTGTTCCTGGCGTCCTCTTCTCTCTCCTCTCTCTCCTCTCTCTCTTCTCTCTCCCCTCTCTCCTCTCTTCTCTCTCTCTTGCTGTAAGCGATGTCCTCGTCGTACACTTCTTCTGGATAGTCTTCTTCCTGTTTTGGAAGGAATTTGAGGGAGGGAGGGAGGTGGGGGTAAGACTTAGAGCAATACACTCTGGAATGTTTTCGTAAAAGTAAGTAAATTAATTTTCTTGTTTCAAAACAACCAATACCCTTTCTTTGTTGTTGTTATGGTTGTTGTTGTTGCTAAATTTTAGTAATAATTGTTGTTAATGTTGCTATTGTCGTTGTTGTTGCGAAATAAGTAAATTTTCTTCTTTTTCTGGATACCTTATTCTCTCTCTTTGTTGTTGTCCTTACAGGGAATCAGACTTATTCTGCTCACCTCACTAGCTTCTACAGCAAAAAGCTTGCTTCGACTATCAAGGCACCCTGGAAACAGTGGGTCACAAGAGTGTGACAAACATACAAAAGAAGTAGAGGAAAAATGACAATAGTAAGACTTAGGAAAGAAAAAGCAGCAGGTCCCTGTTGTAGATCAGGCACAGTTATGAGCGTGACATTGATGGATCAGCCCATTTACAATTCTACTATGCATGAACGAGAAATGTCCCCCTTTGGAAATGGCCTAAAGACACCTCAGTCAGTGGCACCGCCCCGGGGGGTAAGAGAGGGAGAGGGAGAGAGAGAGAGAGAGAGAGAGAGAGAGAGAGAGAGAGAGAGAGAGAGAGAAAGAGACAGCTAGACAGATAGAGAGAAAGAGATAGAGACAGAGCGACAGACAGACAGACAGACAGACAGACAGACAGACAGACAGACAGACAGACGGAAAGAAACAGAGACAGAGACAGACAGCCACATTGACAGACACACAGACTAACACCTCTAATCTTCTGCGCACATAGTCATATGCAGTTGCGAGCACCGTAAAACCTCTACTAAAACTAAAAAGACAGCACTGACCTCATCCCACATTTCCTCCTGTCTACTCCTGGCTCTCTCTATCTGCGTTGCCACTTATGCCTCCTCCCCCCTCCCCTCCCCATCCCCCTCCTCCTCCCTCCCCTCACACCCGATCTTCTTTTTTTCTCCCACTCCTTTTTTTCTGGATCCAGGGTGTGACGGATACCATGAGAATATTCAATATACCACCCAACCAGGCCATCAAAGTATTAGAGACAGGAAGCTCTTTCTCCCCTCGACGCCCTAGAGGTACAAGAAGACGGATAAAGTAAGTAAGACTCCTTCTTTCCCCCCAGACAGCACTCACTGACCTCCTCCCACATCTCCTCCTGCCTACTCCTGGGCCGGGGAGACATGAATGCTGTCTGCGTTGCCACGGATGCCTGAGGTGACAGCTGTGTGGACTGGTTCTTGCTGCTCCTGCCTTCCGACCCACGGGGCGATGTGTAGTACCGCTCGCCAGATGGCGCCCTCTCTGCTCCGGTGGAAGTTGAAGTAGGTGTTCTGAGAGGTGACCTCGTCTGTTTTCGAGGGGATGACGTTCGAGAAGGAGACGGAGTTTTTCTTGACGACGGGGTTCTCAAATCTGGTTCCAACTCTGTCTCTCTTCCCCAAACCGGTTCTTCTTCATCATCATAGTTCTGTTCGCCTTGATCGGGCTCTTCCTGGTCGTAGACGTCCAAATGCTCGTCTTCCGGTAACTCGTCTTCTGGTTCCTCGTCTTCCGGTTCGTATTCGATCTCGATTACCCGTTCACGTGGTTCCTGAAGAGCCGGATCCTCAACCAGTTCTTGCACCGGTTCCTCATCAGGATCAACTTCCTGTAGATGGGGGTCCCATTCTTGATAGTGTTCCTGCCACTCGTAACTCGGGTAGGGACCTTCGTTTTGGTAATTGTTCTGATCCGGTTCTCCGGGTTGGCTTTCTTCCTCTCCCACTTCCCTCCGCTGGAATCGGCTGCTGTTGCTGCTTGCACGAGAGATCGGGGTCCTGGGAGAACCGGATTGCCGGGATTTGGGCGAGCTCTCCCCCTGGATCAGTCGGCTCTCACGGGACGGTTGCTGGAAGGTTTAGAGGTTTTTATAGCTTGTTCCTTTTTGTCTATCCGCATTAAAAAATTTAGCTCATTTATTAATTTACCTATGTTCAAGAAACTTTGCATGGTACTTCTGCAGGCCAGCGACCAAATAAATATATATATATATTTAAAAAATCTTAATTTACTTGTAGAAGAAACATTGAGCTCTTTATTTTTGGGCCCTATATCCCTATATTAAAATCTGCATATTTTGAATCATAACTATTCGTTAAAGGATGATGTTGAGGAAAATATGTCAGACTTTTGGTGTTTTAGATCTACGCTGTAAATCCCCTATTATACATGTATTTTTACCCGCTTCAGGCTTTTGCCAAAGAAAACGTGTCGGAATCTTAAATCGCACTGACTTTTATGAATGTGCAATTGGGACTCTGTAGGTAATCCAACTTTAAGGGTCGTGTGCAACGATCTGAGAAGATTGGACTGAACTTTGCTTTAACCGCGGTCAGACGAAAGTGAACAAGCTATAGTAGTTTTAATAAGAGTTCTATCTATCTATCTATCTATCTATCTATCTATCTATCTATCTATCTATCTATCTTGGCAAAAATAGCACCTGGACATGAATGGCTGGTGCCTCTATGAATAAACTATTGATGATCAAGGATCAATTATGCTAGGCATGGCAGTATGAACACTATCAACAACGAAGGGGAGGGGAAACCGGCAGCACACGGAAAGGGGAGGTGAGGGAGGTATAATCATGAAAAGTATTACATTAAGGCGTCTATAAAGGTAAACATGTCGACTCGACAGTACGTTAAATATTTTTTTAAAAACCTACAAAAAACAAACAAAAAATAACATGTAGATGGCGGTAACCAGCTGCAAACTAAAGGAAAGCACGAAGGAAGAACAGAGCAGCGAGCACAGACACTTTGCTTTCGAGGTGACGGCGTCCGAGAAGGAGACGGGCTTTTTCGTGAAGACGGGGTTCTCGGAACCGATTCCAACTCAGCCTCTCGGTAAACCGGTTCCTGGTATTCCGGCTCCTGATATTCCGGTTCCTGGTACTCCAGTTCCTCGTGTTCCGGTTCCTCGGCGATCTCGACTACTGGTTCATCCAGTTCCTCATGAACCGGCTCTCCAATCAGTTCTTGCACCGGTTCCTCAGAAGGATCACCTTCCTGTAGTTGGGGGTCCCATTCTTGATAGTGTTCCTGCCACTCGTAACCCGGGTAGGGACCGTCGTTTTGGTAATTGTTCTGATCCGGTTCTCCGGGTTGGCTTTCTTCCTCTCCCACTTCCCTCCGCTGGAATCGACTGCTGTTGCTGCT